AGTTTGGATATTGATGTTGGAAGAAAATTATTAAGTCGATATGGAATTTATTTAATTTTGGGCCTTATTGAACCAACATCATATGGACCACCAGTATGAGAAAATGTTTTTCATATTTAAAGATAAATAATTGTTTTTTTTTGTTTAGGAAATCTTTGGACGACTTTTAAGTATGTTATTTCTTTGGTTTCATTCAACTGTTCGTTTACCAGGAAATGAAATTGGAAGTGTCTTAGGCAAATTAAAATCTGAAGTAAGATAAATTACGAATTTATAATATATTTTTATTTATTTATTTATTTAAATTAGTATGTTATTCCATGGCTTAAATCAGTTGTCAAAGAACATTATGAATTAGTTATTGCTTTACTTCTTCCACATCCAATTGAATATGCAAAAGTTGGTGGTGTTTGGTAAAGAACTCTTTTTTTTTGTTGATTTTCAAAAACTAGTTGACATATATTTTTTTTCAAGGGAAACTATGGCTAATCGTACATCACAAGTTAGTGAATGTCTTAATAAATTATATGATTTAATGCCGGATGGAATAATTACATATGAAGTAAGTTAAGTCATATTTTATATAATCAAGAGTATTGAAAAAAGAATATGATAGTACAATGTTTTTGTTCCGCTGGCTATATTCTCTCTCTCGTTTGATTGTTATTATTACATCCATTGTTCTGATATTTCCTTTATAGACTAACGCTTGATTAGAAAAGATGAGGAAGTTTTTGTTTGTGTACATTTGTTAATTACATTTGAATGTACACTTTTTTTTCAAACAGAAATAGACCAATTGGATGTTACATATATTTTTAATTTCATAGATTTGGGACTACATAATGCCATATTGGATGGAAGCAATTCGACTTGAAGTACCTGAAAATGATTTAACTGATTTAAATTTACTCTTTCGGTAATAAACTTTAATTTATTTTTCTAAATCTATTTCATCATATTCTCATTAATAGAAAAATGTTTGATCCAGATCCCGATATGTCTCCATCATCATTAACTCGTGATCAATTATATAATTTTATTACTGATCGTTTTCAATCACCTGCACCTGCTAGTGTTCAAGAACAAGCTTTACAATGGTTACAAATTTTATGTTTAATCGATATATATATACCAGTTCCATTACTTGTTCAAATATTTATTACTGGTATAAATTCATTACAAAAACTTGAATCACGTGCACAACGTCGTGAACATTATACAATGGCTGGTTCATCATCGAATGAACAATCAATTGATAACGGGTTAAATTTAATGATGTTATCACAAGATGATGGAAATGTTACTAATCCTACAAG